CCTGCGGCCCCGGCCGGCGCGCGTCGCGGGGGTTGGGGGGCGGGGCCTGGCGGGGGCGGGGCTGTCGGGATTCCTTCCTGCTCCATTTTGGAATCCTCGCGGCTGAGTCGATTGTCCTCGCGTTCCAGCCCGGCGAGTAGCTGCGCGCCCAGCACCTGGGTTCCGGGGACCCCAGAGGTGAGGGGCCCGCCCGCTCCCTGCGCTGCGCGGCTGCCTGGGCCTTGCCCACGAGCGGCCTGTGCGCCCCGGGCCTGTGGGGCGCCGCGCCGGGGAGGCCCGGGAAGCCGCTCCCTGCGCTGCAGGGGGGTTGGGGGAAGGGGGCTCAGCCCGGCCCTTCTGCAGCCAGCACCACGTGCCTGCGGCTTTCCCAGGGAGGGCGCAGACCGCGTGGCAAGGGCCCGGGGAGATACGCAGCGTCCGGGGCGCTGTGGCAGCTGCGCGTCCTAGGCAGAAACTGGAGCGAATTGTGGCCCCTCGAGTTCAAAGTGGGCTGCTCCATCCCCGGGCTCAGCTGCGTGAGACAGGCCTGGCTGCCGGTCGCTGAGGGCAAGTAGCGTTGGAGCGAGTTAGTTGACTAAGCAGCCTGTCAGGAAACGAATCCTGCCAGCCCTGTTTTTAATGCTCTTTATGTTGTGAAGTGTCTACATCTCATGCCTAGTCACCTAAGTTGATACCTATTGTACGCCCACCTTGTAGTTTCCTCATAGATAAGGGGCTTTTTCTGACACTAAACTCTACCTACAGTGCTTAAAAGTAACTGTGGGGCCTATCTAATTTAACACCACCAAAACGGAAATGCAAAGTGACTGTAGAAATTGATTTTACTTGTCAGCCCATTTTTGCACAGGTATTCTAGTTCCTAGCTTACATAGCAGAAGCTCTTATGTTCTGCTAACTCTCTGCTTAGTAGCAGTTGTTCTAACAATGTTGGAATGTGAAAAGGTTCAGAAAATGGAAATAAAATGACTATGGGTTGGACCTCCCTGGTCCAGTGTGGTTGGGACCTGGCAGTATTTGCCAAACCAGGGGAGGCATCCCCTGCCATGGGCCTGGAGCCAGCTGGCCCCCTGCCTCCGGCCCCTTCTCTCCTGCCCTGCTGACACCAGGCTGTCTTTGGTGGCTGGGGTTCTCTGGTCCTGGCCTGTGCTGCTGCATGAATCCAGATTTCCTCAGCTCTGCTCTGCGGCGGGCAGCCGGGCTTCTCTGGCCCCCTACCTCACATTGCCACTGGCTGTCGGGTTCTCCGGTTCCACATTGCCGCAGGCTGCCATAGGCGGATGGGCTTCTCCAATTCCCTGAGCCCATGCTGCTGGAGGCACTGGGCTTCTACTGCTTCTGGCCCCATGCTGCCATAGGTGTCTGGGTTTCCCCAGCCTCTTGACTCCACACTGCCAGGATTCTTCAGTCCCTGACCCCAACACAGCACTCCTCCAGCTCAACTGTCCCTCGCCGGGCTGCTGGCCCTCCTGCCATTAGGCTCTGGGGCTCTCTGATCCAGGAACATCTGTAGACCTGCCAGACTACAGATGTTGCCGGACCATAGAGTACTGGTTTTCAGAGGTGCAACCTGTAGTCATATGGAACAGTTTTTATATGGGGAGAAAGGAATAAGCCTGGAACTTCTCATCTTAGAAAACAGATGACTAAGGGGAATATGTTAGAGACTTATAAAATCATGCCAGTTTGGAGAAAGTAAATTAGGAAGTGTTGTTTACTTCTCAAGAGCACAAAACCTAAGGGACACCAAATGAAATTAATGAGCAGGAGGCTTGAAATGAACAATAGGAAGTTTTTCATCCTACAATGCACAGTCAACCTGTGGAACTCTGCAAGAGGATGTTGTGAAGGCCAAGTCTATAACAGGGTTTTAAAAAGAACTAGATAAGCTCATGGAGGATAGGTCTATCAATGGTGGTTATCCAGGATTGGCAGGGATGCAAAAAGATGCTTTGAAGTGTCCCTAGCAGCCAGAAGTTGAGAATGGACAATGTCCTATGGCTCACTTGTTGATTCCTTCTGAAGTGCCTGGCATTTGCCACTGTTCAAAGATAGGCTTATGAGGCTAAATGAACCTTTAGTCTGAGCCAGTATGTCTGTTCTTGTGTTCCTAAGCTGTTGATTTGATGGCATGTTAAAGTAGCAGAAATCAGATTTGATAGAAGACCAATAGCAAACAACCTAACTTTCAAAAATTAGATGAAATCCAATAACAGACTTGTTTCAAAAATTCAGCTATATCTCAGTGTTTGCCCCTAAGCCACACACAAGAGAGAAAATTTTCACTTTAGCTTTTTTAAAGTGAAAGCTATAGATGAAAGTAAGTGCATATAACAGAAGTGCTGGCTTAACAGCATATGATCCTACAGTTAGTTGAGTGAACTATTTCCCACTGAAGAACGAGTGACTTTTTTTTCTCTTCTAAATTAAATGGGTTATGTATAATAATGTAATTCTTTATTTCTGTGTTTCTTATAAATGAGCATTTTCCATGTTTTTTTTCCCTTGTGTATATGAATTTTTTACTTTGCATTTACCGATAAGAAATGCAGGAAAGGCAAATGCTGGCTTCCAAAAGGAAATGTCAGTTCTGAAATTTACCCATCCTCTGCTTAAAATCCACACCTTTTAGTCTCTTTTAGTGTTTGTGGGAGTTTTCTAATACTGAATTCTGCATGTTAGTACCCTTGAAGGGATTTCAGTTTTTGTATGCTGGAACTTTTGGGACTTTTTTCCTCTCTATTATAGACATTTTCCTATGCTTTAGTTTAGTCACTTCTGTATACAGGAATGGTGGGTGTGATCTCAATTTGTGAACTTTGTGTCCATCCTGGTTTTTATTATTATTATAAGGGCTCGACAAATAATGCAATCTACTTGCCCGTGACGAGTAGATTGCAATCTGGAAGAGCTGGGTTTGGGCGATCTGCGCATGCGCAGATTGCCGGACAGTGCGGCTAGAGAGCAGGGCTCGCCGCAGTTCGGCGAGCCCTGATTATTATTATTATTATTACCATAGCAGTATCACAAAGAAGAGTTAATGATAACTTTTGCCATTGTTGGTATGTATCTCCAATCAAGCAGAGGGACTCATGCTGGGTGTTTTACAAACATAAAATATGTTCTCTGCCAGCTTTTGTTGTTCTGCAGTGACATCTTCCTATTTAACTCTTCCAGTTGATATTTAGGAGAGTCTTGCCTATGAATGGGGAGAACTGATTCTAATGGATAACATGTGTCATTGATTGTACACAAAATGCTGAAAATCAACTGAAAGCTTTCTCAGTCTCTTGACTCTAGTCAGCATGATGCTTCAGGAGTTTGCTCTTTGATGAAGAATGAAAAGATCTATAAATACATCATCTTGGAGTAAGGGCCATCTTTTTGCTTTCCTAGCACAGTTGGGGTCCTTGTTCATTAAGAGAGATTTTAGGTGCTATGATAATACAAATAGCACATTTTTGATAGTTGTGACTAATTTTATATCTTTGTTTATCCCTTCCATTGTCTAATACATTATCAATGTTTCTTAAACTTTACTAACACTCTTGCCCCAGGATTGCATCAAACGTGCAGTTGTTCAAAAAAGCGAGGACCTAACACTGGCTTCTCTTTCATGTTTCCTCCTCCTGCCATCTTCTGATAATTTTCTTTTGACATGCTGCCTTTCTTTACTTCCTAGTAATGGCATCTTTTACCTGCATCACTTGCCGTGTGGCTTTTAAAGATGCTGACTTTCAGCGTGCCCACTACAAAACCGACTGGCATAGATACAATCTAAAGAGGAAAGTTGCTGACATGCCACCTGTCACTGTTGAGAATTTCCAAGAGAGAGTTCTAGCACAGCGAGCAGTGGCAGAGGAACAGAACAAAGACACTGCAACCTACTGTACAGCTTGCAGCAAGAGGTTCTCTACTTTTAATGCCTATGAGAACCATTTGAAGTCCAAGAAGCACCTAGATCTTGAAAAAAAAGCTGTCCAGGCTGTCAGCAAGGAAGTAGAAACCTTAAATGAGAAGAATCTGGAAAAGGGACTGGGCCAGGAGAGTTTAAACAAAGATGCAATGAATACAGCTATTCAGCAAGCCATCAGGGCCCAGCCATCCTTATCTCCAAAGAAGATACCATTGCTCCCAACTGATACAGTCAGCTCTGCAACTTCTGCTGGAGGTGATTTGTCACAGAGCAGAGAGAGATTGGAAAAACCTCCAAGGCTACAGTGGTTTGAACAGCAAGCAAGGAAGCTGGTGAAACAGGGTGCAGAGGATGGCGAGAAAGATGAGGATATGGAAGGTAAGAAAACCTGCAAGGTGGTAAAGTGGTGGCTCTGGCTATGCAAATTTGGTTATTGGTTGTGGGTAGAAGTCCCATGTTGTAGTTTTTTTAAAAAATATAGGGGAGGAAGGAAAACACAATTCCATGGGGGTGGCTTTTTTTCCTAATGAGATTCATCAAAAGAGAACCTGCTATGAAGAGGGTAGAAAGATTAAAGTCTAGCAAGGCTTAGTGTCCAGTAATCTCATTCATCACTTTTTTTCTTCTATAAAAAGGTCCTAATTATTAGACATTAGATCCTCATGTTTATGACAGAATTGTGTTATTTACCGGTTATGCTTTGTTTTAATGTTACATGGTACATTAATAATTTTGCTTCCAAACAGCAAGAGGATTTTCATGTTCAAGAAAATTGTACCTAAATTCTTAGATCTGGTGAACCTTTTCCTGAGCAATTTTCAGTTTTGCCTTAAGTTTCTGTCATTTCTTTGTAAGTTAGTTTTATTGATAGCAGTATGGGCTCATCACTTGATTTTAATTTCTGTATAGTAATTAGAACTAGGGATGTAGTAATAATCATTTTGCATGAGCTTATTGGTTACCATAATGGTTATACTCTAGCTCCCAGCCCCACTCCTGGAGAGCCCACTGTTGCCTGCACTGGGGGGTTCCATATCAGACCCTGCAATGAGAGGCGGCAGCCAGATCCCTGGGAGTGGGGTTGGGAGCTGGAAGCCACCTTGCATTATGGGTTCTGAAGTATAAAGTTTATATTGCAGAGCCCACAGCGCAGCTGGCTCCATGGGAGTGGGGCTGGGAACTGGCTCCAGGCATGCCCTGGTTGCCAACTCTGCCATGTAAGCTTTATACTGCAGAGCCCGCAGCGTGTAACCACTGAAAATCTTAGTGGTTAAATGGTTATCTAATTAACCACTTTTTAATATCCCTAATAAGAACACGTAACATTTTGTATTAGTTTGTAATTTATATTGTAAGCGTATTCTGTACTAGAGCAAATAGATTATGATTGTTTGGGGGGGAAAATGTAAATAAACTTAGTGTTTTTTAAATTGTACTGAAAGGCTGGGAGGACATGGATTCTGATGAAGTTGAGTCTGAAGATGAGCAGATGGAAAGTGCAGTGGATGAAGATGAGAAACAGACTTCTGCTGGTGCAGTGCCATTCACAGACTGCTTGTTTTGTCCTCACCATTCAAGCTCTCTCATGAAAAATGTGGCCCATATGACAAAAGCCCACAGTTTCTTTATTCCGGATATAGAATACCTTGTGGATCTCAGGGGACTGATTAAGTACTTGGGTAAGTATGACCACCCCCAACAGTTAAATACCAAGGGTAGGTATATTTTAAAAGTGACTCAAAAAATGAAATGAAACATGCATCAGTCCACTTTGCTTTGCATAGTTATTGAGCAGAACCTGTTGTCAACATGAATGCATGTCCTTTGAAATGGTGGTTGAAGTATGAAGGGAATACAAGAATTATTAGTGCATCTGGCATGTAAATATCTTTCAGCATCAGCTACAACGGTGCTATGAGAACACCTCTTCTCACTTCAGATGACATTGTAAACAAGAAGTGGGCAGCATTATCTCCTGCAAATTGTAACCAAACTTATTTGTCTTAGGCCAGGTCTACACACCTGGAAGAACATCACGCAAACATAGTAGATGTAGCTGGAATCAGCTTGCCTTAAGCCAGGCTTGGCACCATCCCCACTGCAGGAGGCTGATGGGAGCAAATGCTCCTGTCAGCTTTCCATGACTGCAAGAAGTACAAACTCCAGCCAGAGCTGCCTTCCATGTTCAATTTATAGGTCTATGCTAGACCCGGTCGATCTCAGCAAGTGAGGACTTTCCCTGAGTGACTGAACAAGAAGTAGGACTGAGTGGACTTTATAGCTTAATGTTTTACTTCATTTTATTTTTGAACGCAGGTGTTTTGAACATAGTTATTTGTAAGTTCAACTGTTATGATAGAGATTACACTATAGTACTTATATTAGGTGGCCTGAATTTTTGTTTGTTTATAGTGCAAATATTTGTAATGCAAATTAATATAAAGTGATGCCTATATGCATTTTACTCTAATTAAAATCAATATATAAAAATGTAGGAAGCATCCAAAAAATTTAAATAAATGGTATTCTGTTTAATTGTGATCGGTTTATTTAATTGCTTGATAGCCCTAGTTTAAACCATGCAGCATGAGGTTTATGCAAAAAACCTCAAGTTCTAAAATAGTTACACTGGTTGTGCCTATTACTCAACCAATGTAAATGATGCAAATATTTTCAGATGTACGAGAGAGTAAATATTCCATTTGCAGTGGAACTGCTGTAACAAAAGTAGATTCAATATTACTCTATCCTTACTAAAGCTCTTGCCACAGGATGAGAACACACCTTATTTTGTGCATTTTCTATTGTATAGCATTTCACAGAGAGCTTTTGTCCAGAGTGTATGCTGCCCTTTGTTCTGTCATTGTAATTATTCTTTAATTCTTTAGTTCGGAGGGACCAGAGCCTTAATTCAGTTCCAGCCAGTGATTCTCTAATTTGGAATGACTCAGGTCTCCCATTTGCAATGAATGGGAGACCTGAGTCATGGATGTCAGGGATGTTGAAACTGATAATTGAATGGAGTGTAAACTCAAAATGATACCCTTTTTTTCCCCCTAGGAGAAAAAGTTGGTGTTGGGAAAATCTGCTTGTGGTGCAATGAAAAGGGGAAATCCTTCTATTCAACAGAAGCAGTGAAGGCTCATATGAATGATAAAAGCCACTGCAAGCTCTTCACAGATGGGGATGCTGCCTTGGAATTTGCAGACTTCTATGATTTTAGGTATGATTTTAGCTCAGTGGGGAGCTGGCTGGTCATATATTACTGGACTTTTTTATATGAATAGCATTTAAAAGTTTGTTGCAACATTGATGCGGTAGAATTGAATTGAGAGGGGAAGGGGAGGTGCTCCCAGAGAACTGTCTATATTAAAACATAGTGAAAAAGATTGGTAACCCTGATATCAGTGGAGCCTGTCACTATGCTGAGACTTAACAAGTTTACAGCATGCTTGGTTTAAATAGGACAGTTTTGAAATGGAGCTGCTATTCATGTGTATTTTAGCAGCTGCTATAATTGTTCCATAGGAGCAGTTACCCTGATCACAGGGAAGGGGAGGATGTGACGATGATGACTGAAGAGTTCCCAGCAGGGAAGAATTTAGAATATGATGATGAAAGTATGGAATTGATTCTCCCTTCAGGTACGTAGAATAGATACTTTTTGTTGTAGCATTCATCTTAGTGATGGACAACCTAGGCTAATGAGCGGGCCACACAAGTGGCCCCCCTGCATCTCAGTGGGCTGCATAATGTGAATAAAAACAAACAGAATCTGGTAACCTTTTATATGGGCAACAGTAAACAAATGTCAGGAGGGTCACACACACAACCTCAATGGGCTGCAGGTTGCCCACCGCTGAGCGATATTCTTGACTTTACTGTAGTTTAAATTATTGCCAACAATTCCTATTTTTGTTTCATAGCACGCAGTTTGACATTCACTTATCCTTCATCTGCTTTGATCTCAAATTCTGTTCTTCCAGTTTTCAAACTGAAGACTTGTTTTCATTTTAAAATGCTCTTATTAAATTTGCTCAAATTGAAATTTACAAGACTCCTTTTTCTTGTCATCCTCCTGCATTGGCGTGTGTTTCTTTGGACGTCACTTTCTCTTATTTGCCCTTGACTGACTTCATGCATGCTAGACTGTAATGTGCACTTTGTTGCAATATATCTTACGGAGATAAGTTCTTCCAGTGTAGTACTACACAATGGAACCTGCTCATAAACCAGTTTTGACAACCTGTTACTCATATTAATTTCATTAAACAACCACATATTGTTCTTTGTGTATTTAATTTCTACACTAAGTCTGGATGCTTTGAAAATGGTGTGAGGTTTGACACACAGAGATCCCTTGTATAGGCTTAATATCAGCATATCCCTTGGATCCTGTAAAGTGCTGACAAATATGCAGTGAAAAAGGGTGAAATAAAATCTTTCCTCTGATCTAAAGACAATGGAGAGGCTGTTCTAAGTAGTGATAGCAGAACAAGGGGCTATGGTCTCAAGTTACAATGGGGGAGGCCTAGGTTGGATATTAGGAAAAACTGTTTCACTAGGAGAGTGGTGAGTTACTGGAATGGGTTACTTAGGGAGGTGGTGAAATCTTCATCAATGGAGGTTTTAAGTCCTGGCTTGACAAAGTTCTGGCTGGGATGTTTTAATTAGGGTTGGTCCTGCTTTGGGCAGGGGACTGAACTTGATGACCTCCTTGTGGTCTCTTCCAGCCCTAGGAATCTATTATTCTAATCTTAGTTACAATAATCTTATGTGTATCACGTGAAACAGTAGTAGGTGCTATAGGAAATGCATGTGGAAGTGTGAATAAAGGTTATCTGCAATGATGGAACCCCCTTGCTTTTGTAGTACTCTCTTGGGGTTTTTTTATGTTACATAGGGGTAAAAAACAAGGCTGATGTCATGTTAGGGGGGTCTACTACAGGCCACCTAACCAGGCGGAAGAGATGGATGAGGCTTTTTATTAAACAACTAACAAAATAATCAAAAACGCAGGATTTGGTGGTGATGGGGGACTTCAACTATCCAGATATATGCTGGGAAAATAACACAGTGGAGCACAGACTATCCAGTAATTTCTTGGGCTGCTTTGAAGACAGCTTTTTATTTCAGAAGGCTGAAAAAGCTACTGGGAGGAAGCTGTTCTAGATTTGATTTTAACAAATAGGGAGGAACTGGTTGAGAATTTGAAAGTGGAAGGCAGCTTGGGTGAAAGTGATCATGAAATTATAGAGTTTGTGATTCTACGATATAGTAGAAGGGAGAACAGCAAATTAAAGACAATGGATTTCAGGAAGGGAGATTTTGGTAAGCTCAGGGAGCTGGTAGGTAAGGTCCCATGGGAGGCAAGACTGAGGTGTAAAGCAACTGAAGAGAGTTGGCAGTTTCTCAAAGGGACACTATTAAGGGCCCAAAAGCAAGCTATTCTGCTGCATAGGAAAGATAGAAAATATGGTAGAAGACTGCTTGGCTTAACCAGGAGATTTTGCATGATCTAAAAATAAAAGAGTCATATAAAAAATAGAAACTAGGACAAATTACAAAGGATGAATATAGGTAAACAATACAGGAATGCAGGGGCAAGATTAGAAAGACAAACGCACAAAATGAGCTCAAACTAGCTGTAGACATAAAGGGAAACAAGAAGAAATACTATAGACATATTAGAAGCAAGAGGAAGACCAAGGACAGGGTAGGCCCATTGTTCAGTGAGGAGGGAGAAACAGTAACAGGAAACTTGGAAATGGCAGAGAAACTTAATGACTTCTTTGTTTCAGTCTTCACTGAGAAGTCTGAAGAAGGAATGCTTAACATAGTGAATGCTAGTAGGAAGGGGTTAGGTTTAGAAGATAAAATAATAATAAAAAAAGAACAAGTTAAATATCACTTAGAAAAGTTAGATGTCTGCAAGTCACCAGGGCCTGATGAAATGCATCCTAGAATACTTGAGGAGCTGATAGAGAAGGTATCTGAGTCTTTAGCTATTATCTTTGGAAAATCAGAGAAGACAGGCGAGATTCCAGAAGACTGGAAAAGGGCAAATATAATGCCTATCTCTAAAAAGGGGAAATAAGAACTACCCTGGAAACTACAGACTAGTCAGTTTAACTTCTGTGCCAGGAAAGATAATGGAGCAAGTAATTAAGGAAATAATCTGCAAACACTGGGAAGATAATAAGTGATAGGGAACAGCCAGCATGGATTTGTAAAGAACAAATAATGTCAAACCAATGTGATAGGATAACGAGTCTTGTGGATAAGGGAGAAGCGGTGGATGTGGTATACCTAGACTTGGGAGAAGCAGTACCGTGGTATACCTAGACTTTAGTAAGACATTTGATATGGTCTCCCATGATATTCTTATCAATAAACTAGGCAAATACAACTTAGGTGGGGCTACTATAAGGTGGGTGCATAACTGGCTGGATAACCGTTCTCAGAGAGGACTTATCAACGGGTCACAATCCTGCTGGAAGGGCATAACAAGTTGGCTTCCACAGGGGTCTGTTTTGGGACCGGTTCTGTTCAATATCTTCATCAACTATTTAAATATTGTCATAGAGAGTACTCTTATTAAGTTTGCAGATGATACCAAGCTGGGAGGAGTTGCAACTGCTTTGGAGGACAGGGTCATAATTCAAAATGATCTGGACAAACTGGAATAATGGTCTGAGGCATGGGTTCCCAAACTAGGGGGCATGCTCCCCTGGGGGTGGGGGGGGTGCAACGCAACCCAGCCCTCCTATTAATCCCCCCCAACAAGTTTTGCTGCTTTTTTGAGGGTAGGGCGCGTGAGGATTTCTCAAAAATCAAGGGGGCATGATGCTGAAAAGTTTGGGAACCACTTATCTGAGGTAAATAGGATGAAGTTTAATAAGGACAAATGCAAAGTGCTCCACTTAGGAAGGAACAATCAGTTTCACACATATAGAATGGGAAGCGACTGTCTAGGAAGGAGTACGGCAGAAAGGGAGCTAGGGGTTATAGTTGACCATAAGCTAAATATGAGTCAACAGTGTGACGCTGTTGCAAGAAAAGCAAACATGATTCTAGAATGCATTGCAGGCTGCGCATGCGCAGACTGCGCTGCACGTGCGCTGATTGCACTGCGGTGCCATGCCAGGCTATAATTTATTCGCCCGTGGTGAGACGATTACCTTAATTGTCGAGCCCTGGTTGTAAGCAAGACACAAGAAGTCATTCTTCTCCTCTATTTTGTGCTTATTAGGTCTTAGTTAGAGTATTGTGTCCAATTCTGGGCACCACCTTTCAAGAAAGATGTGGAGAAATTGGCAAAGGTCCAGAGAAGAGCAACAAGAATGATTAAAGGTCTAGAGAACAAGACCTATGAAGGAAGACTGAAAGAATTGGGCTTGTTTAGTTTGGAAAGGAAGACTGGGAGGGGACATGATAGCAGTTTTCAGGTATCTAAAAGGGTGTCACAAGGAGGCGGGAGAAAAATTGTTCTTCCTGGCCTCTGAGGATAGAACAAGAAGCAATGGGCTTAAACTGCAGCAAGGGAGGTTTAGGTTGGGCGTTAGGAAAAAGTTCCTAACTGTCAGGGTTGTTAAACATTGGAATAAATTGCCCAGGGAGATTGTGGAATCTCCATCTCTGGAGATATTTAAGAGTAGGTTAGATAAATGTCTATCAAGGATGGTCTAGACAGTACTGGGTCCTGCCATGAGGGCAGGGGACTGGACTTGATAACCTCTAGAGGTCCCTTCCAGTCCTAGTATTCTATGATTGGTTAAAGATGGCATGAAAAGCAGTTGTGGTGCTAGAGACTAGACTGTTTATTAAAACTTCAAAAATATCAGGAATATTGCATTGTGTGTCCTATTTTTGCTGAATGACCAGAGAACTAAAGTAGGAGCTTTCTCCGCATCCTGTTGAAGGTTTAGATATTAAATCTTTAATCAAAAGAGAGCTTTCCTCTTGAGCAACTGAGCTGAAGGGACCCCCATCTTAAAAATAAAACTACATTGTCACTACGAATAACTCAGTCTAAATTGGCTAAAATTGAAAGATTAGAGGAGAGGCATTTTCTTCTGCTTTTGTTTGACTGCAATGATGTGGAAGATAAGTGCCAAACTCCCTTTTATTCATCTGAAAATTTTCCTCCTTTTGGTAAAATCCAGTTTAATAGTTTCTCTAGTATAAAATCTAAAATATATGTTGCCAGGTCTTCTACAGCTATATACAGGAGAAATACATGCTCTGGTGTGCCTATAAGAATGTATTCTATAAAGACTCTTGTGAAAAATCCTATTTTTCTCAGTGTAATATCAGGCATATTACAGACCTGATATGTGTGATTTTTTTTTTTTAACAAAAAAGCACTTCTTGATCTGCCATTTGTTCTTTTTCATGATATAAGAATGCACAAATACTTTGGGTTTTAGTGATCATCCCCATTAGTTTTTAGGTAGAAAAAAATTGGAAAATATTGGCGTGTAAATGAATAAATGGATGATTTGCTCACTAAATTGTAGCTACTCCAGTGGCTGTTTAGTGATGCACAAAGGGTACCACTGCTTCATCTTTAAATTTATCGATGATGGGAAATCACTTGAGAGTGCTGTTGTACTTTCAAACTTTCCTATTTTTTTTTATTCCACAACATGTAAATAATCAGCCAGCCTTTCTCCGCAAAGGTTCAATAAGTATTTATTGCATGTTACTGTGATAAAGTTGTAGTATTCACCATTTCAGTGCATGGAAAGGCTAATAAAGTAGCACTTAAAAGGATCTATGTTCCTCTTTGTGGTGCAATAAAGGTTGAACTTCTATAATTCAGACTCCTCTAGTCCAGCAGCACCCCTATCCAGGATTGCTGGTGACCCCATCGATGCTCCAGGGCTGGAGCATGGTCAGGTTGGGGGCCAGAAGCATTGCTGGACCCAAAGGTCTGATCACAGAAGTCTCCTTAGGATTGTTCCCCAGTGTGCTGATTGTTCCACAGACACCCACCTCCTTGCCCCCTGGGAATCGCCACCACTCTGTGCTGCTGGGCCAGATCCTCGTCTCCCTCTCCCCCCATTCCAGACAAGACATACAGACACTGAACCACTTCAGCTCTGGGAGGACTCAGTTCTAGGGCTCAGCCCCCAACAGGGCTCAAAACCCCAAATCAGTCTGTGTCTTCATGTAAAACTTAAAGCTTGTGAGGTAAGTTCTCTTTATCAATGAACAGACAGATCAAAGTCAGTTACTCATTTGAACAGAAAATGCATAGCTAATTCTAATCCACTAAGAAACTTGTTACAAATTATCACGGTAAACAGCTATTCTTATTTCAGATATAAGCTTCAAATAGAGCAGTCTTTTACTATGACCTGGGTCTTCAGCCCTTTTCAAAGTTCTTTGTATCCTCTTGGGGTGTGCCAGGCAGTTTCAAAAGCCCGCTGAAGACCAAACTGATAGCTTCCCATTGCTTAAATAGACTTTCCCCCAGAGTGGAACCCTTTGTTTGCCTTCCCATTGCAAAATACCAGGGTCAAAATGGATTCCGGCACCAGGTGGCATGGTCACACGTCTTTCTAGCACCAATCACTGTTTCAGCTTACAGGACAAACAAGGCCGAGGAAGCAGAGCCATGCAGTATTCCTTGTAAATTGTGCAGTTACTCATCAGAAATTCAAATGCTGCCCAACTAATTAGCGGAGTGCCCACAGCTAGGTTTGTGTTTTTACTGGTGGTGCACATTCACACATGCCTTGGTGCACATAAAATTCATATAAAAGCTATCATCAAAAATAGACAACTGTTAGCACTAGGGTTTTACCATTACTGTTGACAAACAGAAAACAAGCATTTGTTCTCTTGTCATAAATGCTCATCCTTGTGGAATTAAGCATTTTGGGTACGGAGTCCCCATTTTTCTTTATTTTCCAGTGAGAGGGGGAATGTCAGCCCTTCTAATTTTGTTTATGCATGAGTTCAACAGGGGATCATAAAGTAGTAACTGATCGTGAAGCAGTTTAGAGTTTCGTTACCTAATCCTGTTAGCGATTGTGTGGTTGGAGTCTGGTGGTCTCCATGGAACATTTAAATAGAAGCGTGCAGAATTGGGACTGTATTTTGTCAGGAAATTACGTTTCCTGTTTTCACTACTTAGGATTGCCTACCAAAAATGTCAGTTTCTTTAAAAAAAAAAAAAAAAATTTATTCCAGTGATGGTTAGAGGCTTTTACTCATCAGAGGTCACAAAACAAGAAGGGACTTTTCAGAAATAACACAGCTCACCTTACCTTACCAATCTTTGTTCTGATTTGGTAGTAAACATATAATTAGGAAATCTCTCCTGTACACCTGAATTGTAAAATACAGTGTTTACTCAGCTGCCTACTTGATCAATTGCAAAGCAGGGTGCCATGTAAATGTAAGTCCTCTCTGTTTATGGTGCTATATAAATCTTGACAGTGGACCCAATTTTTTTTTTTTTTGACTCTGCACTACTCAGATTGATCATCTCCATCATTTTGCAAGTGGTAGAGAACCTTAGTGAATTTAAATAGTTTTGTCAGGACAATGACTCCTACTGACCCCTAAATCAAGAGGAGATGGCTTCTAAGTGAAATGCTCTAGTTCAGCCAGAAGTTGTTGGACTTGATGCAGGAATTACTAGGGGAAATTCTTTGGCCTGTACGCTTTAGATTATCTGCTTTTATAATGGTACCTTCGAGCATTAGAAAGCTGGCCCAAATCCTTGCAACAAAACTAACAGTCTGTCTTTCCATTTCTTGCCTTTAATTAAATCTTCCTACTGTAGGCTTTTATAATTCCTAAGCATCCTTTAGTTGAACTGCTGGTTTTTTTTCCTGTTTTTCCTTTCCTCAGCATATGATGCGTGGTAGAAGCTGCTACATTAGTGTCTCTCTTATCATAGTCCTAAAAAGTCAGTCCTCAGTAAGATTAATTTCCAGAGACACCTGGGTGATTAATTTGCTTCAAAGGCTGTTTCATTTTGCTTGACTTAAACTGTTAAATATTCTCTTGTGTAACAGGTGCCAGAGTTGGTCACCGCTCTTTGATGCGATACTACAAGCAGCGGTTTGGTTTGTCAAGAGCAGTGGCTATTACTAAAAATAAGAAGGCAGTAGGCAGGGTGTTGCAACAGTACAAAGCTCTAGGCTGGACAAGCAGTACAGGTAAGTGACAAATTTTAAGTTCTTTAAACTCTCTTTTTGAGCCTGTATTCTTGGAGGAGGATGGGTGACAGAGCCTGGTTTCTTGTCCAGTTCAACCATCTATTGTTAGCGATATACTATGAGCCCAAGTCAGTTTTCCCACGCTTTAAGATTTGCTGCTGCTTGCTGTGGAACTATAGTACAATCTCCATGTAGATACTGCTACATGTTGTCAGATTCAGAGCTTTCTAGCAAAGAGCAGTATCGCTTTTGCAAGGGAAAAACTAAGTTTCTGGTAGGTGAAGATTTAGGAGGAAGGGCAGAGGGGAGAATCGGAGCTCTGTGGTAAAACTTTGATCTTGTCTCCTGGGGTATATCTACACTACAAAGTTAATTCGAACTAACAGACGTTAGTTCGAATTAACTTTGATAGGCGCTACACAAGCGCTCCGCTAGTTCAAACTTAATTTGAACTAGCGGAGCGCTTAGTTCGAACTATGTAAACCTCATTCCACGAGGACTAAGCCTAGTTCGAACTTACTAGTTCGAATTAAGGGGTGTGTAGCCCCTTAATTCGAACTAGTGGGAGGCTAGCCCTCCCCAGCTTTCCCTGGTGGCCGCTCTGGCCAACACCAGGGAAACTCTATTGCCCGGTTCCGGACCACTTAAAGGGGCACGGGCTGGCTACGGTGCCCGTGCCAGGTGCAAGCCTGCCAGCACCCAGCTAGCAG